TATATATACACACAGGTTTCTACCGTATATCGTTTATATCGCGCAGTACTTCCCAGAATGGAAACAAATAAGAAAATACAACCCCAGGTTAACCTGACAGATAGGGGTGAAAGGTAAAAAAGGAAAACATCCAAAACTCTTCAAATTGTTTTCTGAGGTCAAGGTATGTCACTTTCTGATCACAGCATTTCATTTTTTTTTTTTTTGGATGGATCACAGCATTTCTTACCTGGTGACTCCATCAAGCTAGCCCAGAACTCAGGAACCATGTGCAGTGGGTCATCTACTGAGCACATCAGTTTGTATAAGTGAACACAGGGAGGAGTGCTCACATTGCTGTAGTGGCTCACAAAAAAGTCAAAGTTCTGATGAGGGAAAGAAGAACAGGCCAAAAGTACAGGTTACAAAGGTAATATTTAGGGTTAAAAACAATATTAGCAAAGATAAAAACAGAAGAGATGAGGGGATAAGATGATACACACACACAAAATKGTTGGTACCCCTTTACTCACAACGTTCACAGAAATAACGAGAATCTGACTAAAGTAATAATAAATACAAATTCTATGAAAATGAACAAATGAAAGTCAGACATTGCTTTTCAGTCATGCTTCAACAGAATATTTTTTTAAATAAAACTTATAAGACAGGTCCGGACAGAAATTATGGGGGCAGGGTGGAGGCAGACTGTCGGCTGCAGCAATATCATAAGGAAATGACGACAAAAGAACTTCTATCTAGCAGCAGAGCAGGTTGGAAGTGGATATTTAATGTTAATAATTGTTTAACATTCTTCAGGCTCTGACGTTCAATACATTTGAAACTGAGTTTTTGAAAAAAATCTGTAAAGCATGAATACATCTTGCTCTRTATGTCCATATGTCTGCAAAATAATGGAAAATCAGTGTCAATYATGGGCAATCTGTACAACTTCACATGTAYGTTATCCTGTTGCAAGACGCCTGTCTTGGTGTGGATCTGGAAACTAGGTCACAAGTGGCCCACAGGTGCTATAAATATACTGCATTTGGGCCAGATGTGGCAGGAATATAGAATTCTTATTTAATTTTTAAGCTGATTTGGTCCATACGCTGCAGGTGTCAGGCAGGTTCATTTTCCAGCCCAACCTGGAGCTGGCCGCATATTTACATAAACGCTCTGCTGTGTGCGCCACGCAACATTAATACTTTGTCAAGAGTTTGTTCTCATTGTTACAACAAGTTATGACATGTACTGCCATATGTCCTTTTGGAGAGTACTACACCAACGTAAGCACGAAGTATAAACAAGAAAAAGTTCCATGTTTGTCTCCTCTGTCCAGAGGAYATTGTCCCAGAAGCTTTGTGGTTTGTTAACATGTAATTTGGTCAATTCCAGTCGGACATTTTTATGATTTGTTTTCAACAATGGTGTCCTCCTTTGTTGATCTGCAATCTGACACTGATGTTCCTTGAGCTTGATCTAATCTGTTTAGAAGATTTTCTGGGCTCTTTTGTCATATTAGCCGTTTCTTTGATTTGTCATTAATTTTCCTCCTGTGGCCACGTACATGGAGGTTAGCTACAGTCCCATGGAGCTTGAATTTCTGAATCTGTGCAACTGTAGTCACAGTAACATCAAGATGCTTGGAGATGGTCTTATAACCTTTACCTTTACCTTTAGCATGCTTGTCTTATAACCTTTACCTTTAACATGCTTGTTTTATAACCTTTACCTTTAACATGCTTGTT